CAAGTTTCTTTAATTTGATTATTTTGACGAGAGCCTGATTCCTCCACGCTGCCTCACATATGTGTCACGACGCGGCGGGATCAGACGTTCGTTACTTTTTGAGCTTGTGAGGTTATTTGTATCATTTTAAAATTTGTCCACTTGTTTTGACTTTGATGAATAAATTACCTATCTATCTTGAAGAGAAGTCGAGATATTTGAGACTGAAGGGTCTCCTGGATTCAGAGTTAAAATTAGCGAGAAAATAACGGTCAATGTTTGGTTAATTCGTAGTTTAAGAGTCGCTGGAAACGGACAGTTTATATTTTTAGTGCTTTTAATCTACATTTTTCAATAAAACCCACACAGAAATGTGTTTTTAAATGCACATGAAGTGTGGGTTTGAGCCCTTAAACACCCCCCCCCCAAAAAAAAAAATTAAAAAAATCTTCGATCCCACTGTTTTGACGAGCGCCTGATTTCCCCACGATGCCTGATATAATTAATATGGTATTTCATCACCAGAATTCTGCCCAGCCTGACGTGTGAACAGAATGTTGTAGGGCAAGGATTATACCCGAGGGGGCAACCAGATCTCTGCTCAACGGATCGATGACCCACTTGATGAACCCGACAACACACATAGGCAGATACACACTCATAGACACACACACACACACACACACACACACACACACACACACACACACACACAAATACACACACACGAACACACACGCACACACACACACACAATGAGGATAGCGACGTGAATTTTTTTCTCATTATACCTCCTTTCAAACACGTTTCCTTTCTGGTTGTAAGAAAACGTTCCACGGGCCTTTTTTTCTTCAACACGTTAATTTTGCAATTAGAAGCCGCTTTACAATTGGCCCCACAAGATGGACTATAAATAATATGCACGTTGAATCGGTATGTAAAAGCGCGAACACAGTAAGCTGTCAAACAAATAGCAGTAACAAAGACTGGAATGTTAAATAATAGTAATATAGAGTGAAGGCTCTCGTGGCCTAGAGGTTAAGGTGTTCGCCTCTCATTCAATAGGTCCTGAAAATGTTTAATTTGTCCCACGTGCTCATATGACCTTCAGCAGTTGCGAGCGCAGCAAAACATTTACCAAAAACAAAAACGAAAAAACATACACACGAATACGAGCAGCAAAACACTTACACCCCCCCCCCCCCAAGAAAAAGCAAAGATGAGGAAGTGGCCTTCAGATTTGCCAGAGTTTGTTCAGCCTTTGGCAGACTGGAGGGAGGACACGCTCTGACAAGGAAGAGGAGAACGCCTTGATATCACGCTGAACCATGGCGTTCTTTACTTACAGGCCTTCCCAGCGTACGGCCGAGGTCTCGGACTGGGGGCCTACGGTGTTTTCTGTAAGGGAGGCAACTGAAACATTAGACCCCCTTTCCCTCCCCCTGATTCCCGAGTGTCGCGTCGCCGCTTAGTCAGCCAATGACACTACTGACCTAGATAGCAGACCGACGTATCTGCAAAAAAATGTAATTAGTTTTTGCATCTTCATTTAAATGGACGCCTATACCCATTCTGCTTCTTGTATCTGCACTACAAATAGAATATTTCACTGAGGCAAACAGACGTAACTGAAGGGCCATGCACATATTATTTCCAATGGCAACGCGACGTAACTCAAAATCATAAAAAGTGCAGATACATCGTTCTGCCTTGGCACTGCAGAGTCTTGCATAGTGTGTAATCCAGTCCTCAGTGCAAGTGCAAGCGTGAGCTGTGTACTGTGTAAAAAAATCAGTCCTTTCTCGCTGTCTAGTAGTGTCTAGCAAGTCTTTCGCAAGCCCGGCAAAATCAAATGTTCAATTGATTCAAAGCGTCGTGTTGTGCATTAAGCGGTATATTTATTCACCAATATTTTCATTGTACTGGATATAATAGCTCTACGTGGTGTTCTTTGTTCATGATAGAAATGTGAAGTGTGGATTCAATAGGTGACATTATCGTTCCAGTACAGTCAAGAAGTGTCTCTCTCGTACCAGACTCTTCATTCTGCCTTTCTTGTTGAATCCAACCTTGCGTTTCATGATCACCAACAACAGTGTGTAAACTCATTAAAATATTCTTTGATTCACTGGTAAACATTTGGTTTTCGAAGCTCTATGGTTGTCATTTGGGTTTCCATTATGGGCAGGAAATGTTGGGTTTTTGGTTGCAGAACAAATAATAGATCTAATTCAGAGAAAGCGAGTTCAAGTGAAAAGAAAGTGTCTGTGTTTAGATTCCCAAAGGATGGGATTGAAAGAAATGCATGGATTTCTGTGATATCCAGTGCGAACTTATCAGTTTCTAAAGAAACTGTTGTGTGTGAACTGCACTGGCCAGATGGTTATGAAAGTGAAGTTGTTAAACTTTGTAGACGGTTACTTCAGTCCTCCCATCAATATGTCATAGGGCTCAGGAGGGACCTCTTTATTAACATTCAGCAAATTGTGGAAAAATCAAAATTCACAGATCAAGACTACTTCTATCTCTTGATGCAGACCTTTCAAACCTCGAAGAACCTGATCATTCCTGCTCCGATTGCAATTTTAACATTGAAACAGACGAAAGGGCTTCAGAAACTGTGGACAATCTAATTGAGTTGGAGCAGTCACTTGGTATAGAGACAAAATCTGTGCTGATTTATATTGCTGGCTATGCTACTCACAAAGACGAAGAGATGGACGAAATTTTTCAACTCGGACAGACAACCTTCTACTACTATAAGTACGGCCACTACACAAGCTCATTGGATAGAGACGGCTTGAATATCCGTTCTGATAGAGCATGTCAATGGACCTTCTTTGCTTTTCTTTTGTTCAATATTGTTAAAGACTCTTTTGCAGAACATCTTTCTACAAGTTAACCATGTCTGACAGTTTTGAGATCGAAATGCAAGAGAAACACGGGAGGATTCTGGCACACATAAAAAAAAAACAACTATTGTTACGCTTCCACGCCTCGCTCTTCAAAAGAACATGCATTGAAAATTTTGAAATTATCATAATTGGATAGACATACACTGCAATCCATTGAAGAAGGAAACTGATACTAGAAGAAATTGTGTGCAAAATGTTAAGTTTAATAATTGATCTGATCAATGTCTAGAAAAAAAAACCCACAGCAGAAAACAACGCAACAGTCTGTTTGGAACGTTTAATCATACATTGTTCATTGTACGATATTTCCTACCCTTATTTCACCTGGATACATGGATTATACTACAGAGAAACATAAAACTGGCTTGGTAAGTAGGGCCCTACTTATTTATAAGGCATGTACAGTAAATAGATCTAGTCATGTCTTGTTTAGATTGTTTTATATGGACGTTGATTTCGATTTTTTTTCTAAATTGCATAACAGATCTAATAGTAATAGGGCTAAGTAGTAAATAAATAATTATTAGGCTCTTATTTTTATGTCACTTATTGTAATTACCTTTGGAAACAATGCCCAGAGACTGAATATGGAGTCGACTGGATAAATAGACGTTAATACTTAAATGATATAGTAGGGGCCCAGTCCGAGACCCCAGTCGCACGCTGAGTAGGCCTGTTAGTAGAGAACGCTATGCGCTGAACCCATTAACGGACGGGGCTCTTGATATTTTGTGTCTTACGTTCACACACGTTTCCTTTCTGGTTGTAAGAAAACATTCCACAGGCATTTTTTCTTCAAAACGTTTTTTTTTTTTCAATTAGAAGCCGATTTATATTTGGCCTCACAAAATGAACGATAAATATGCACGTTGAATCGGTACGTAAAGATGTGAACACAGTACGCTGATAATTATGCATAGTATTATACTAGAATAAAAATGAGTGGAATTTTAAAGAACATAGAGCAGTCAGTCGTTCTGATATCCCTGCTCTACGCCTATGAAACATGGACAGTCTAGTAGTCGGTGGCCTAGTGGTTAGGCTCTCGGACTAGCAACCGTAAGGTAGTGGGTTCGAATCCCGTCAGGGACCCGACGTTGTGTCCTTGGGAAAGGCACTTTACACGAATTTTCCTCACTTCACCCAGGTGGGAATGGGTACCCGGCTATAGACAGCGAAAGGTCTTTTGAGTTTGTTAGTGTTTGAGCGTTTAATCGGCTGCTTGCACTGTATGCTTCCCGGGAAGCTGAGAATGTTTCGGAGTGTTCTACGGTCTGCTGGGGTAATAATATAGTGTAAAGCGCATAGAGCCTGCTGTTGAGCGGGGATATGCGCTATACAAATGCTATCTATTATTATTAGTATTAGTATTATTATTAGTAGTATTAGTCTACTGTCGCTATGTCTTGTGGCCCAGTTCTTTCCTCATGAGATTCCCTCCACCACCGGGGAAGAAGCAGCTCAACAAAGCCCTGTCTGGTGCTATTTTAATTTTCAAAAAAAGCTTTAGTATGATTTTTACGCCACTTGCAACATATTAGGTCAAATAAGTGCCGAAGAGTAGAGTAGAGGAGTTACAAGAGAGTAACAGACACAAAAAGAAGGGGAGAACAGATAAGGACGATGCAAATTTGATAAGAAAGAAGGAGAAGACCACAATAGAGCACCCGCCAATCACCCGTTGGCGCTGCCTTAGTAAACATTTGAAGTTGATGCATTGCTTGCTTGAAGTCCAAAAGGATCGAAACTGATGATTCAGAGGTTTTCCTTTTCGAATTTGCAATGTTGCACTAATTGACCTACATTTATTTGTATCATAATAGTCTCCTACATTGTTGCTAATAGAAAAATAATAATTAATTCTTCTGTTGTTGTAATTTCAACAACACAAGCTTCTTATATTGTATTATTTCAACTTAGGGATGCGTGCCATATTTCAAGGTACTAATGGTTATTCATTCCTCAAAAAATTAATGTGCCATATGATTTGGCATATTTTCAAACTCGGAGTAAAACAGATTTTAAAAATTGTCAAAAATTAAAACTTAATCCATCTACATGATGTATTTCAATGTATCTTTTCAAATTTCAGCATTTTGTCAACACTTAAACTGGGTTCAGGTTCTAGAGGGTTAAAGAGAGAGGGATCAGTCAGAGAAAAACAGATGTCAGCTGAGGAAAGACCAAGAGAGATACATCTGGCTCTCCTCCCCTCCAAAAAAAAAAGGTTTGGTCCAGCTCCACATATCCCCTGCCCCCACTACAACAGATGTTTCGGGGCGAAGATCGGCCTGATCATAACAAGATGACAACCTACACCCACACTCCACCCCACCACAATCATGTGAAATCAAGGCGGTCACCGACGAAAGACAAACATCATACACACACTTACACA